GGACTTGGGTAGAGACTGCCATTTGCTCACTAAAGTGCATTTCAGTGTATAATGGGCACATAGCTAAGCTACATTTCCCAGCCTCTTCTGCTGTTAATGTGGCCATATGACTGAACAATAGACAGTAGTATGTGAGCATTCAGCCACACCAACCTCTGGGTTAAGAATCTTCTCAAAGGAGTGTAATTTCACAGTTACTGGCACAGTCTACACTGAAACCTACTGGGGACTACAAATACACAATAGTTAATTTTGCATACTTCCCTAAGGGATAAATGGAGGCTTGGGATGATGGTTATCATCCTTTTGAGAATTCCCATTAACTCTTTAGGGATGGGCCATCCTCTCCCACCCACTAAACTAAGGCAAAAGTAAGACTACGATTAAAAAACACTCCAGGGCAAGAGCTTTCTTAGCATGAGGTCATCCCTGCCCTCTTGAGTCATCCCAAGCTTATCCATTTGCCTGCTAAATCGTGAACCTTGATTCTTCTACAAGCCCCTCCTATCATTGTGTACACCCAATAAATAGTGGCTGCTTGGAGTGTCTTTGTCTCTGCCCATCCTGAGGCATTGACTTTCCAGCCCCCTTTCATCCATTACTAAAGTTGTCTCTGTTTCTTATTTCATCCTTTTGCCAGTACCTCTCATACAGGTAGTTGGGGGATCTTGGCTATGTCTTCAATAGAAACTAATATTTCCTCCATTCATCTTCTTTTCTAGAGACTTCTGAGTATATGGGCAAAAGCTACACAGTTATACCTGCAGTTCTGAAATCCATGAAGCCCTAAAAACCAAAAATGTTTAAAATAAACCCTTAAATAGTTTTGATGCCAAAATTCATTTGTAGTAACACCTTCCCTGAACTATTCCTGGGGCAATTTATAGACTTTTCTGAGGCTGCGTTTAGACTTCATCTCAGAATAACTATTCATAGACTTTTTGAAGAAACATGAATGTCCTTGATTTTAGCATGCTGATCCAAACCTCTCTGGGAAGCAATGTAATTAACATAGACTAGCATATAATACATATACTGTATTGCCTTACCTAGGTCCATGAAGTTCTGTATACCAAAACATAGTTGGCTCCAAAAATTTCAGAAGAGAGATTGTGTTCTTGAAGAAATGTGAGTCTAGATATAGTTTTGTCCTGGGTTGTGGGAACACTATTTTGCTTTGGATAATCACTTTTTTTTTTGGTTTTTGGTTTTTTTTCCTGGTACCAGGAATCGAACTCACGACCTTGTGCTTGCCAGGCAGGCGCTGTGCCACTGAGCTAAATCCCCGGGCCTGGATAATCACTTTTGAATTGGAAACCTAGGCTATTTACATCCAGTAACTGTGGCATTTTCAACCTAAGGTTTCCAAGGTCACTGCATGGACAGTTGTATTAGACTTGAAAGGACCAGTGTCAGAGGATGATGGCACCTGGGAGATTCCACAAACACCTGGAAGGAGCATTTCCTATTCTGCTTATGTTTCATAGTTAACAGTCATGTAGCCACCTTGACAGCAGATAGGTTGGGAAGTGTAGGTTAGCTGTGTTTCCATGAGGTGACGGGGTGGGGCTCAGTAATTAACTGGCAGTTTTGGCAATAGTTCATCTTCTGGTCACAAAGTATTTCACCTTGTTTCCCACATAGAGAACACACTTATTCCCCTCTCAGGGGATATACCTAAGTTCTAGTCAGGAACTACATCCACTTCTAACTCCAGAATTTCTGGGGGTTGTATAATATTCTTGTGATATCTCATGCGCTGGTGACCTGTGACCTAAATACAGGTTATGTGAATGCTGCCTTTCACCACAACCTTTGCTATGACTTGGCTAGAGACTGACTTTTCTCTTTGCCTAACTGTTCTTTCTTTCTTTCAGCTGTTGATTCTGAAGCGCTCTCTAATCAACTCTGTGCATCTGTTTTGCTCATATCTACTTTCCACATGTCTTAGTTACTTTTCTTGTTGCTAAGACAAAATATTCAACACCCAAAGTTAAAGTAGAAAAGGTTTATTGTAGCTCACAGTTTGTACAGGTTTCAGTTGATAGCTTGGAGGCTCCAAAGCATGGTGGCATGGCAGAGGGGCACAGAAGAGAAACAGTTCATGGTAGGCAGAAGGCAGCAAGCAGTGAAACAGCAGCAGCAGCAGCAGCTGCAGCAGCCTGACTTTTCCTTTTATCCCTTTCAGTATAGACAGTTAAGCACAGCTCTTAGCTCAGCACTCCCTGAGCCTACTCAAACTAGACAATATTAAACTTGCTTATTCTAAAAATCTTAGTTATTTGTACTGTAGTTTCAGTTGTCATCACCTTTTCTAAAATACTTTAGCAGAGCCAGAAGTAGTGGCACATGCCTATAAACCCAGCACTCCAGAGGCTGAGGTAGGAGGATTGCTGAGTTCAAGGCCAGCCTGAGCTACATTGCAATTTCAAGGCCAGCCTGAACTATATAGTGAGACTTTGTCTCAGCAAACAAACAAACACACAAACACAACTGCAGCAGAACAGGGCATCTATACCTAAGAACATGAGGAGAATGAAGTCCATTTTATTAGTCAATTTCTGATGCTGAGATTAAAATATCTGACATACATGCTGTAAAGGTGGAAACATTTATTTTGACTCAAGGTTTCAGAGGTTTCAGTTCATGGCTGGCTGGTTCCAGTGCAGAAATGTCATGGCAGAATGGTGGGCAGAAAGCAGAGCACAGAGGAAGAGTCAGATAAAAGATGTGTTCTTCAAAATCATGCCCTCAGTGACCTACTTTCACAAAAAGGTGCCAACTTCTAACAGTCTATTCCATTATGAACTCATCAATAGGTTAAACCACTGATGAGACCACAACACTAATGACCCATTCAGTTCCTTAAAGCCCATCAGCTTTGAACACATGTGATTTTGGGGGGACATTTTAGATCTAAACAATGACACACAAGTTCTTGGACTCATGCCTAGAATTATGATGGTAAGTTATATGACTAATCATGATATACTATCTACTGATGCTCTCCACAGAATTTGCAGGGAGTTTTTAGTAGTTGCTAACAATTGCTATTCCTGAGACACATATCTTGCCCAGCACTGTCACCAGCTAGGGTCTGTGGAGTGCAGGCTGTGTGCAGCCAGTGGTGGTATGCTGTTTCTCCATAACAGAAGAGAAATGGTGTGGGAGGAAGGACACTGCCCATATGAGGTGCTAAATACTTTAACAATAGCCGATAGAAAATGTACTATACTTTTCTCTGAAGAGGTCCTATAATACCTTAAAAAGTACTTATAAAAATGACATTTTAAGATCAGAGAAAAATTGAACAGAATTTCTGCCTCTATTTCCAGCCTCTGCATCTCTCAACATCTCTCACTAGCGTGGCATTTGTTACACTTGATGAACCTACACTTATCCATTATTATCACTGGAGTCCATAGTTCTCACTTGGCTTCACTCTTGGTGTTACACACATTATGAATTTTGACAGATAGTGACATGTATCTACATTACAGTGCCATACAGTACAGTTTCACCACCCTAAAAATACTCTGTGCTCTATTCATCCTTCTTCCTCTACTGTACCACTTGGCACTGACTGATCTGTTTACTGTTTCCATAACTTTGCCTTTCCAGCATGTCATGTATTTACAATCAATGCATATTTCTCAGATTGGCTTCTTTCACTTACTGAATGTGTTTAAGGTTCCTCCATGTCTTTATACAGCTCATTTCTTTTTTAGTGCTAAATAGTACCCCAGATATAGATAAATGAACCACAGTTTAGCCATTGATCTACTAAAGGACATCTTGGTTGCTTTCAGAATTTAGCAATTATGAATACATCTATGCAGCAATTTACATGGATTTTCAACTCACTTGGTTAAATTTCAAGGAGTATCACTGCTAGACTGTATGGTAAGCATAAGTTTAGTTCTGTAAAGAACTGCCACAATGTTTTCCAAAGTGGCTGTACCATCTTGCATTCCCATGAGCAATGGATGAGACTTCCTGTTGATCCACATCCTTGCCAGCATTTGGTGTTGTCAGAGTTTATGTGTCGTAATAGGTGTGTAGTAGTATTTCACTGTTGTCTTAATTTGCAATTCCTTAACGATGTATGATGTTGAACTTCTTTTCAAATGTCTATTTTCAACCTATTTCTTTGGTGAAGTGTGCCATTTGTATATCTTCTGTGGCTTATTCAGGTGTTCTGCCCATTTTTATATGGGATTGTAGGTTTTCTAATTGTTGCATTTGAAGAGTTCCTTTTATATTTTGGATGAGAGCCCTTTATCACATATGAATTTGGAAATATTTTCCCCAAGTCTGTGACTTGTCTTTCAAGTCACAGTGTTGTTTTGAAGTAACACTTTTTAGAATTAATGAATGTAGAAGGGGTCTCACAGGCAGCCAGGCTGGGAGGTTGGGGTAGAGGCCACCTGTTTTACAGGGCTTTCATGGGCAGGAAACATATGTAGCTGTTGGTGGTGTTAGTAGTGGTAGACAAACGTAAGATGAAGTCCTGGAAGAGGATTTAAAGATAATGTAAAATATCAGGGTAAATACCTAGTACCAGTGTAAATAATAAGAAACCAGAGAACTAGTATAATGACTTGTGCTCATTAGGTGCTTAAAATATCCCTGCTGAATTTTTGAGTTAAAATGGGCAATGACACTGGTTTTGTGAAGCTATTAATATCTATTTCATAGGGGTGCTACGAAGATTAAAAGTGCTAATGCACATAAAGTGCTTAGCGCAACACCTGCATTTTAATAAGCATTCCATAAACACCACTTATTACCATTCTCCTAAGAACTGGGCGTGCAGTCAGCGCTAATCAGTTGCTGTGGAGTGATACTTGGAAACGCTCTCTTCTTGCCTTGCCATTTTACCATATTATATGCTTTCAATTAAACATTACTTTCTCCAGGGATCCTCTTTTATAAAGTATGCAAATCCCAGAGCATACCCCTTCCTCCTCGCTGTAGTTTCGTTTTCGAAGTTCTAGGCATTTTCCTTACAACGGGAACGGAAGACACTCAAGGACTAAGATTTGTGATCTCCAGGAGAAAGAGGGGACAGAAACCAGGGTTTCTGAGAGATGGCGAAAAGGTAAGAAAAAGCAGAAATGTTCCACAACCTTCTGGTTTGGCCTACCATTCTGTCAGTCCACTTCGTGCGAAAGAAAGCTTTGTCTTCACAGGGATGAATTTACTCAGCCACACCCCTGTAGGAGTCCGGCGGGTCTCAGGAAATCTGCAAGATGACCAGGAAAGAAGCCTGCCCCAGAGCGCCACCTGTTGTCTACCGCCTCCTCTCCCGCACCCCGGGCTAAGATGATACCGTACTTCTACATTTCTGGCACTACCGCATCCTAGCTCATCTGCACCAGAACGCCTTTGGTTTTGGACCCAGATTAGATATCCAGTGGCCAGGGCTTATTTCCCAGTGAACTTGAGGGTTGACACCTGAGCTAGTGCTCTGGCAGCTGGTGGAGCCTGAGGCTTGGACTCCTGTTCCGTGATGAAAGTACTTCATCTCTCAAGTCTGTGTTTTCCCAGCCTGGGGCGGTGGGAATAAGGCCATTGTGACCTTGACCCACTGGTGAAGCAGGAAGGAGGGGACAGGAGTAACTCAAGCACCTTTCTTGCTTGAGGTCGGATCCTATTTTCGTCTCCGGAACTTGTCATCATCCAGCGCTACTTCCCCCCTGCACAGAGGTGGCCGAGGGACTGTGAGCCGACCGCTGCCCTAGAGGGACAAACTGGAAGAGGCAGGCCTAGGAAGCTGGAGAAGTCCACGGAGTTGGGCCCCAGAAAACCTCGTGTTAGGACCTTTCTCTTACATGAGCTTGGCAAGATCAATCAGAGGGGGATTGAGAGGGGAAACTGAGGCCCAGAAAAGACAGGGAATCCTCTTCGGTTTCAGTGCGCCCCCAAAGAAGAGCTAAAATGGGCTGAGCACAGAATTCCACATCCTCAGCTTTCCCCCAAAAGCCTAGAAGCTCACTTTAGCTCTGTATTTCTTGGGGGTCCTACGGTACTCCAGTTTCCTCTTAAAAGTGCTCTGCCCCTTTAAGACTCGCGGCTCCTCCTGTCGCGCCGTCGCTGACGCCATCTGGAGGTCCCGCCCACTACGCAGCGTCCACGGCCCTCGGCCTCGGCGCGGCGCTCACGGCCCCTTTAAGTCTGGCCCCGCCCCTGGTCCCGCCCCCGTGGCTCTCCCCCTGGCGCTCCGGGTGCCCGGGCGGGTCGTGCAGCTCGCGGGGTGAGCGAAGGACCCGGGGCGCGAGGACAGCCGGGCTCCCCTGACCCTGCGGTGGCCGATCGGGCCCAGGGCCGGGGAGCGGCCGGCGGGGCCGCGGTGTTGGGGTGGTCGGCAGCCAGAGACGGCTGAGCCGAACGGGGGAGGGGCTCAGGTGTTAGGGGGAGGGGATGCCCCGGGGCTCCAGGCGAGGGGCAGAGCGGGCCGGGTTCGACTGGCGGCGTTTCAGCGGCCTCTTGCCCAGCCGGGTGCCCGTCCAGTCGGTGCAGCGGCCCTCCGCGTCCCCTGGGGTGCAGACCTTCTTTGTGGAGACGGTTGCTGGCCGGTAGGGTGCCCGCTCCCCCACGGGGTCCTGGCCAAGGTGGGGCCGCAGCGAAAGGCATCGGGCGGAGGGGGCCCGTGGCCGGCGTCCTGGCCCGCGTGGGACAGTCGTCTGCCCATCCCCTTTAGGTAGCGGCTGAGTTGTTACCTGGGGAAGGTCTGGCTTCGGGACCTCAGTGCTAGTCCTGTGCCCGTCAGAGAGGTGGTGGTCACCATGGCAATGCGGGAGCTGGTGGAGGGCGAATGCGGGGGTGCCAACCCACTCATGAAGCTGGCCGGCCACTTCACCCAGGACAAGGCCCTTCGGCAGGAGGGACTGCGGCCTGGCCCCTGGCCCCCGGGAGCCCCTTCCTCTGAGACCGTGAGTGTGCTTGAGGTAGCTGGGATGGAGGGTACATTTGCACATTTAGGGTGACTGCTCTCTATTGTGTTGCAAGTAATAGTGGTTACCACTTAGCACTATGCTAAGCACTGTGCATCTTTACACTGATGGAGGCCCATATTTTATAGATGAAGAAATTGAGGCTTAAGGAAGGTTGGTGACTTGCCTAAGGTCAAGTGCATGGTACAGCTGGAATTTGACTCCTGTGTGTGACTCGTGTGCCTGTGGTCTCTTCACTCTACTATATTGTTTTCCTTTTTTTTTTTTTTTTTTTTTTAAGGTCTCCAAGCCTTTGGGAGTAGCCTCCGAAGATGAGGTACATACCGCAGTCCCCATTCTGTCCCATTTTTCTCTTGCTGTTTGTGATTTTTTTTTTTTAACCTTTACACTTAGTTTACCAGTATTTTAATCTTTGGACTCTTCTGACCAATGAGCTTTTAAAAGAATTCTTGGTGTTTATAAATCTATAGAAAGAAAAATCTATTTTCTTCTGTTTCTCCAGTTTGTATTTCCCTTTCCTTATATGTGACAGCCGTATTCCCATCCAATGGGTCCTGTCTCTTTCTGGGGCCTTCTAACCTTGAGAGTTTATTTCACCATCTCTTTTTTGACAGTTGGTGGCTGAATTCCTGCAGGATCAGAATGCACCACTTGTGTCCCGTGCCCCTCAGACCTTTAAGATGGATGACCTCCTGGCAGAGATGCAGGAGATTGAACAGTCCAACTTCCGCCAGGCTCCTCAGAGAGGTGGGTCCAGAGCCTGGTGAGAAGAGAGATCACTGTTTTCTGTGCAAGCGAGGCCCAAGGGCCTCCATATTTGGAGCTACCAGCATTGGGGAACTGAGATGCAGAGGAGATAGAAGGGACAGTGTTTTCATGTGAACTTAGAGTGCCTTAGACACAATGGGATGATATGTATATATTTTGTTTTTTCTCTGTCTCTGTGTCTTTTAAGCCCCTGGTGTGGCAGACTTGGCCTTGTCTGAGAACTGGGCCCAGGAGTTTCTTGCAGCTGGAGATGCTGTGGATGTAACTCAGGATTATAATGAGACTGACTGGTCCCAAGAATTCATTGCTGAAGTTACAGGTGAGCCTTGGCATTTTTGTAGGGCATCAGACTTGACTTTCTTAGGTGATAATAGGGAATTGAATGGAAACTTACATTAGAGGAGGACTGGGTTTGAACTGGGTAAGGGATTTGGGATAGAGAATGAGGAGTTAGGTCTACCTCTTTTTTTGTCTGGAACTGTATTACTGTAGTTCAGTGGAGAGGAGCCGGAGATTGAATGAGTGGCAGAGTTGCCCGGAAAGAGGGAAGCATTCACCACAGTGCCTGGGATTCAGGTAGTAGGTCATCGTCAGCAGGCTTGGGGCCTTGGAAGGTGTGATTGTGGAGTTCAGAGGCCCTCTGTATCTGTGGGTTTGTCATCTGTGGACTCAATCAAATGTGGATTGAAAATATTTGGAAAAAATTTTGGTGTGTGCCAAATGTGTGTAGACTTTTTTTCTTATTGAAGCAATATGAAAGCTATTTACATAACATTTACATTGTATTAAATGTTGCAAGTAATCTAGAGACGATTTAAAGTATTTTGGCAGATATATGGCTATATGCAAGTACTTTGCTGTTTTATATGGGAGAGAGACTTGAGAATCTGTAGATTTTGGTATCTGTGGGGTGAGATGGGGGTTCTGGGACCACTCCCTTAGGGATACCAAGGTGTGACTATGTGTGGTTTTGGGCGGCAAAGGGCATACTACGATGACAAAAATTGATAATAGCTAACATTGTGCTGCACTATGTATTAGTCTTTTTTTCTTCTTGAGACAGTGTCTTGCTATGTCATTCAGGCTGGCCTTGAACTCACTATGGAGCCTAGGCTGGTCTGGAACTCACTGCGATTCTCCTGCCTCAGCCTCCTGATGCTGGGATTACAGGTGTGCGCCACCATGCCTGGCTTTTTTTAATGTTCTAGTCTTTGTGTTAAGTACTTTGAAATGCATTATTTCATCCCTTTGAGAGCCCCACAGATAGTTACTGTTTCTAATGCTAGTTTGTAGATAAGAATGCTGAAGTTTAGAGGCAAAGCAATTAACTCAAGGTGATGCAGGTTTGTAAGTGGTGACTGGGATTTGACTTTGGGTAGATTCAGCTGTTGGGCTGTTCTGCCAGGCCTGCTTGTGCTCTTTCTTGGGTACAGACTTGAGAGGGTTGCAGCCTGATTTTCTGTCTTTGAGAACGTTCATTGCTCATTGCATTCCTTGGGATTGACTCTTCTTCCCCAAAGGCTGTCTGCTGAGGAAAGGAGCAAGGTAGGGGGAAGCAATTATCTTCAGCTGTTCTCTTTCTGATTGCTGATAAAGAGCAGCATAGTTCACCTTTTCCCACTTGGAGAAATCAAGAATACAGTAATAAGGTACAGATGGAGAAAGTTACAAAGATTGTACACTAGTGGTGGCGAACCTTTTAGAGACTGAGTACCCAAACTGCAACCCAGAACCCACTTATATTGCAAAGCGGCAACACTGCAATTAAACCTGAATACCGAAGTTTTAGTTTAGGAAAAACAGCTCATACTTTAACATCTTTTGTCTTAAAAGAAAAACATACATGTGTGCCATAGGTTCACCACCACTGTTCTAGACTGCCGAGGAAATCACATCCTCATAGTTCCTGAATCTTTTTGAAATGATTAATGGGGTTTAATTTGTTTTTTTTTTTCACCATTTTTATTCTCCTAAAGGTAGGTCTTCCTGCACACACGAGAGAAGAACCCCAAAATCTAATAAGTAGACTTACCTTTTAGAATCTCTTGGTCTTTTTCTTTAAATCAAGACTCACTTTCCCAACTGTAGCTGGAGGTAAGGTAGGATAATAAGGTAGAATGAACTTGTGTTCATTAATAGTGCTAAACATTGCATATTCTTAAACTCATTTGATTGTCACATGACACTTAGCAGGTAGATGGGCCTTA